GGTGACTCAGCCGCCCTCCCTCTCTGCATCTCCGGGATCATCTGTCAGACTCACCTGCACCCTGAGCAGTGGGAACAGTGTTGGCAGCTATGACATAAGTTGGTACCAGCAGAAGGCAGGGAGCCCTCCCCGGTACCTCCTGTACTACTACTCAGACTCCAGCAAGCACCAGGGCTCCGGGGTCCCGAGCCGCTTCTCTGGGTCCAAAGATGCCTCGGCCAATGCAGGGCTTCTGCTCATCTCTGGGCTGCAGCCCGAGGACGAGGCTGACTATTACTGCTCTGCATACAAGAGTGGTTCATACAATTCACACAGTGCCCCAGACCCAAAGGGAAGTGAGACTAAAACCTCCCCTGTGCTCTCCCCGCTGGGCCATTCCTGCGCTGTGCCTGGGACCAGGTCGCACTCAGGGTGACTTTCTGTTGTCACATCTTCAGGCAGCATCTGAGTTTCCTCCCAACAGCAAATCTGACCCTGTCACAGCCTCTTCCTCATCTCACATCTGAGACTGAGCATTGCTGTTGTATCTCAGCCTGCTCGTGTTTCCACAGGCAGACAGGACTTACTCCGAGATGAACACCTCCCCATGGAGATGTTATAAGTGGTAGACAGTGTTGGGTCCTGGCTCCTCCCATCTTAGCGTCTAAGGGTGACCCCAGGATGCTTCTTGTCTAAGTGCTTCATTCTGAGGTCTGAGATCCAAAATCAACATGCAGAAGTGAGCGGTAAAATACACACTGGCAATGAACCATCAGAAATTGACAATAAAATGTAGAAGTACCAATTAATGGCATCACATTAAGAAATAGGTAAGGATAAATCTGAAAAATAAAAGCCTGTCAATCTGGTCCAACAGCAGAGCCTCCTTGACCCCCGCAGGGCTCCTCCTGAGTGGGTGGGTGATGACCACTGTCACACAGCTGAGCACAGCCCGGATGGGCTGGGACTCCAGTCCCTGGTACGGGAGATGCGCATGTGCCCCCCACTCTCCCCAGTGTGACCCCTCAACCCCACCCCTGCTGTGGCCAACACTAGCTGTGGTATTGGAATCTGTCATCACATCAGCTACAAGAACCAGAAAGAGTGATGTTCTGGAGTCAGTGTGATCCTCAATCGGTTGAAAATAACCTCCTCTCTTACTGGTCTTCCAGTGACAAATCATTTGTCACTAGTATCCAGAGAAGCCCCCATCGTGCTGGCTGGAGAGGACAAGGAAGAGACAAGTCCAGCCCGTGGGACCCAGGGCACCCAGTCCTCCTCTGGCTGGTCCCATCATGTCCCATGAGCCTGGCCCAGGCTCTGCTGGTGAGCCCTGGACTCTGAGACCTTCACGAAGCAGAATCCCTGTGCAGGTGGGAGGAGCTATTGGACGCCGAGGTGCAGGATACCCTCCCTTCTCCTGAGTTTACCTCCGTTAGTCTAATTGTCTCCCACTCTGGTTTCTGTTTTGTTTCACTTTTATTGGGAGGTTATTTGAATGGATCTCAGTTCATTGGAGTCTAGAGCCTATGATTCAACCCTCATTATCACACAGAACCTAACATTACAGGAACGTTTCTAGAACATTTTCTTCTGTCTTCAATGCCAGTCCATGGAGGACTTTACCGAATAAACTTAAGGTTCCCTGGAGGGTGAGTAACAGCTGTGAAGGCCACTAA